TGATGATAAAGATGACAAAGGAGTTTGTTGTTCTTTTTATATATATATATATATATATATATATATATGTATATATATATATATATATATATATATATATATATATATGAGAGTAATGGGTACCTATTGATGGCGTTAAAATGTTATGTGTTATATCTAAGGGGGTTAAAAGGGCATTAAATTAGAGTTACTCATTCCTGTATAAACCCTGGATAAACACTCAGTGAAAGAAATAAAAAAAAATGTTCTCATGTCAATTTTTTTTTTTCAATGTTAATTGAGTGTTACTGCTGATCCAGGCTGTTTTTTTTTACTTTTTAATTTAACTACCTTTCAACTGTTCACTTATCTTTTTTAATTTTTTCTTGCTAAACTTTTTTTTCACCTAATTTATGTTGGTCATAAATCATTAACAGGCTCATCTAATTACTCAAACACAAAAATAACATGTTTTTTGCTGAATAACATTCTTTGCTGAATGGCATTATTCCACAGTCTAGCAATATAGACCTTTAATACCTATATTAAGGCCTCGGACCATTTAGTGCTTTCTAAACAACCCAGATGTTAAAATCTGTCCCATTAAAACAACCAATCTTAAAAATTAGAAACCAATTTGATAAAATCAGGTCTTTAGATCCTGGTCAAAACGGGCAGCACCATTTTGGATTGACTATATCAACTTATTCAATATGCTTACAAAAATGATTCATGTAAATGATGATGATATAGATTTGAGTCTCAGCATGTGTATAAATAAGGAATTTGACTCTGATTTATATCCTAACAAAAGAGTGAATTTGATTGTTTGGGATATAAGTTGAGCCATGATTCTAAATCTAAGCTGTTTCTTCCCCAATCAAAGCTATTGGGAGCATCTAGATACTGAATCAAACTGGAGGGCTTCCTGATTATAGAGCCTTGAGGGATCCTAAATTGTTTTATAATGACCATATATGACCAGTAAATCAAGTCTACCAAGCAAGATCTGAACCAGTTTGCCGCAATATCTGAAAATCCTAACCCTTTATCCAGTCAGCTAGGCAATCTAACACCATTAATAGATGTTTTTAATCATTTAAATAAATGCAGCAGCCTTTTTCTATACAACAAATGATGGAATCATAAACCTCTTGTTTTGAAATACTTTTGCAATAACTGTAGCTGGTCAAAGGGGGGCGCCAAATATCCTGAGGACACTAAAATGCAACATGACCTCATGAGTTATTAATAATCTGTCTAATGGAAACATAAAAAGGCATCCACCTACAGCTGAGATTTAAACATCCTGTTTCTCTATTGGGTCGTCGTTACATAAGCGTCTCTGTCAGATTGGATCATAGTGATATTATTCTGCACCTATTTTCATGTAGGATTTATTCAACATATTCTGCTCTGGAGATGTAAGAACTTTCTTCACCGATTAGTTTAAAACAGAGAAAATGTTATTTTTTCCAGCAATTTACCACCAGTTCACAAAAAAATAGAGAAGATGAACATTTACAGTTCATATAGAATCTAATTTGGTCTGTCATCCTAATGCAACTCATTTATAAAGGTAGATTCAGATGAAATCTCAGATCAGATCGTCCATCCATCCATTTTTTTGACATGTTCTATCCCAAGTGGGGTCGCGAGGGGTGCTGGTGTCTATCTATGGCAGTCAATGGGCCAATTTACCTATGAGTCATGTTTTTGGACTTTGGGAGGAAGATGGAGTACCCAGAGAGAACCCATGCATGCTCAAGGAGAACATGCAAAGTATGCAGAAAGACTCAAAAACAAATGGTGGAAGAAAAGAAGATGGGGGAGAATATTTCTCTGAAGGGGATCATGACAGACCTTAAAGTGAATTTCTGCTCAGTCTGAAAAACGTGTATTTTTAGACTACTTTTCATAATTTTCTACATTATGCTTTTCTGAGCCTTTCAAAATCAACCTTTGGTATTTAAATGATGAAATATTGCTTTTGGCTCTACATAGTATTCATGTCTTATGAAATCTTAGTTTTTCTGATGCTATTTTTCCAAACCGGAAAAGACGCTTGCCTTCACAGCAATGCCTCCTCTCCCTGTGTGGGTGCATCCTGTTTCATAACCATATCACACCTCTTCTGGTGATTAGATTTTCTTTAGAATGGCTGACTAAAGCCTTAGACCTTTCCAAAATCCCATTTTAAATTCACTTCAGATTATTTATATACTGTGTATTCCAATTCACCACACGCCATCCAAAGGCACTGTGCAGAGACTGTTTCATCATGTCATACGGACAGGCTGCTTAAGTTTTTTTTATCCAAGTGAACCCAGCTGATTGCATCGAGCCATCTAAATTGGCACATAGATATTCACTTGCATTGGGCAGCAATCTCTCACGCTGAGGAGGCATGCAGCAATAGTGGATAGAAAAACATGGAGGTTAACAGCAGAGAAGTCCAGCAGAACCAGCCTCAACCAGGCTGACTGAGATGCTTTTATTCAAAAGGGAGGAAAAAGAGCAGATACAGTAAAAGTTGAGCCCATAACTAGGTCTAGGAGAGAATCGGGACTAAACACTGAAAAACAGGCTCAACTCTATCAGGTGTAATGGGAGTTTGTGATGGTAGTACCATGTGTCACAGCTAAACAGAGCTTGATTCCCTCTGAACTAAGAACCGTGTATTTTAACATTATGAGGCGAACCCAGCTAGGAGCTCAAAGAATGGCCGTCTTTCTATCACAGTTCTTAGGTTTAACCATAGCTTAAGCCTTTAGCTAACTTTTGTACTGTAGTTTATTTTTTCCTTCCTCAACTTTTCAGCTCCAGTAGATGGAATAGTCCCTTTAAATATTTGGAAAGGTGTTTTCTTCTCATAGTAATGACTCTAAATCATAATTATTTCAAACATACATAAATAATCCTCTGGTTAGGGGAATAGGAAACCAGCAGGGGCCCTTACTGGCATTGCCCTTTGCTGGTGCAGGGCCCCAGGTGGGGGCATTCTGGACATTCTTTGGGTTAATACTTTTTTGTTTCCTGGGCTGTATTACATTCACAACTTAAGGGTGTCTGGACTTTCTAAGGTGAGCAGCTAAGCCTAAAGCCGCTTCTCTCATTACGCCATAAAAAAAAAAAAGAAAGAAAAAATAACAAATGGTCAGTTCAGGTGTTTTATAAAATATGTGAAACTGAACGATTGTTGTTCTCTACTTAAAAAAACATTTCAGATTTTAAAATGGAAAAATTTTCTTTTTTTAAATTTTTTTATTTCAAAATTAAATGTATAACATGGAGGCATAAAAAAATCAAATTTTATTTTATTGTTAAATTCTGTTTAAAGTAACAGATTCTAATAAGAAATGTCTCCGGACCTTTACTGGTTGATGATTTTCTTAAATCGGATCCCACTGATTTTTAATTGGTGAGTGTCTGCCATTGAGGGTCTGCCACATTAAGTGCCGTCCCAAACCAAGTAGTGGGTAGGGCAAGTGGACCATTCAGCGCTTAAATAGTGAGCATGCATCAGTGCAAGCTCGCTTTAACAGCGACCTGGTGGTGGAGCACATTCCTTCAAATGTAAATTCTGCTGGTTTGCTGCACTTCGTCACACTGACAGAAAATCATCAAACTACTCTATGGAAAAAAAATGGTATTAATTCCAAAACTTTTAAATAGTTTCATTTGACGGTATACATTTGTTTTAAGTAAGGGGCAAATGTTTAATGTTATGTTAACCTGTGACTCAGAGGACCTGGGGCATCGCTGTGTTGCCATAGCAACGACTTCTTTCCTTTTCTGTTGCAAGGGAAGAGGCTGTCCCATTCTCCTTTAC